CTTGTAACTTGTGACGTTGTAATCAGAATTGAATGATTCTGGTACCATTCAACTCGTCTCATTGAGACGAATCGAATAGTACCAAAATCGTTCGATTCTAATTGCTAGAACACGAGATATCATGTATGTGTCATAATTGGTCCATGTATAATAGTTTATTAATTTTTTATCTTTTAATTTAATTTGCAATATCGCGTGATATAGTGGTCAGAATCGAGCGAGTTTGGTACCATTCGATTCGTCTCAATGAGACGAATCGAATGGTATCAAAAACGTTCGATTCTGATCACTAGATCACGTGATATTGACCGTAGAAGTTACCTGTGTTATAATACTCCTCTTTACCTTATATATATATGTAATTATTTTACCTTTTTTATACCTATATCTTTCTAGGATGCTATTAGTATTCAAGTTAAATATCAAAATAGTAAAAGAAGAAAAAAAACATATGTAATTATTTTACCTTTTTTATACCTATATTCTTCTATGATATAAATTGAATATTGGGATAATAAAAAAAGAAAAAATCATATGTAATTATTTTACTTTTTTTATATCTATATTCTTCTAGAATACTATTAGAATTCAAGTTGAATATCAGGATAGTAAAAAAAGAAAAAAACATATGTAATTATTTTATCTTTTTTATACCTATATCCTTCTAGAATGTTATTAGTATGTAAGATAAATATCAGGATAATAAAAGTAAAAAAACAATATATATAATTTTTTTACCTTTTGCATATCTATATCTTTCTATGATGCTATAAACATGTAAGTTGAATATCAGAATAATAAAAGAAGAAAAAATGTATATTTTTTTATACCTTTTTATATATCTGTATCTTACTATTATATTACTAACATGCACTAACGCTTCGGGCGGACTACTTAAATAGGTAATCAAAAGTTGTATGTGTGACTAGTTGTACTCTTGTGATACTAATGTAATATGTAAAGCCGGTACTAAAATTAATATTGGCCTACCGCTTGTACTAATAAAGTGCCAAGGGCCTAAGTGGTCACCTTAATATTAAAAAAAAAAATAATAATTATATTACTAACATGTAAAATGAATATCAGGATAGTATTAGAAAACAAAAAGTATACCATTATGTATCCAATATCTATTTTTTATCTTACCCTAATACTAATATCTATTAGTTTACTATTATTTTTTTTCAATATACATATAGGTAAATAACAGGTTAATAAAGGTATATCCTGTTATTTAATCTTTATTTATGTATTCAACCTGTGCCTGATAAATGAAGTAGAGTTCTTTCCACTTTGGCTCTAACTTTATACTATAACTATATTGTTAATCTGCATGAAATACCAAAACTTTATTTTCAATGCTAAATTCAGAAATTTTGTTGTTGTGCTTTTTGTATCTGTACAACAGTGGCTTGATGAATCGTTGGCAATATTTCAATTAGTCCCCAAACTCTTAAACTAATATTTTTTTCAGTCATATCACCATTTTCTATTGATTAAATAGGTTGCTTTGCAATATAGAAATTATTGAGCACTACTATAAGAAAATAAAGAAAATAACACTTCTCTGATTTCATTTCAAGATTTTCATTTGGGTTGTTGCCCAGCAAAACCATGCTTAGAATGTATAAAAAATATACTTTAAGCATAGTTTTGCTAGGCAACAACTCATTTATAAATTTAGCTCTACATATCATAGATATTATTATTATATAATCAGTTTTTTTTTTTTTTTTTGACAATCATATTACAACTTTATTTTATAATATAGGATTTACATTTGAAATAAATGTGTGTCCTATTTATAGCTATACTATTTTAAACTAAAGTGTGGCTCACCCGGTTGCCAATTGGTATCTATGTACAACTTGCCAAAGTAGAATTAATCTCGCTACTTCTTCTCTATCTACCTCAGATATTGAATCTGCAGTTCATTGGCCTGGATCTATAGCCTGTAATGATCTATTCTAATTTTTAACCTATCTGGACCATCTTCCGGCCCATATCTATCTATTTATCTCTCTTGTTACTATATCAAACTTTTTCTTAAAAATATTCCACCAATTTTTCGCTGACTTTTTTCTCTTGGATTTTTCCTTCACAATATTGGACAGATTGTTCTGCCTGGTCATACTTTTCTAATTCGTGTTTCTTGTTTGGAGCCTTTTCTCTTTCTTTTCTCTTGAGCTAATTTGCATTTCTTTTTTCTATCTTATGACTTTCTTATAATAATGGAGCCATATTTCTTCTTGGAAGAAACTGTACCACTTGTTCTACCATTCGAGTATTATCAGTTCCATGACTTTTCCGGTGATTCTCGTTGACTTGAGAGAGGTGGTTAGATTCATTTCAATTAGCTCTCTTGCTATGTAATTTCTCTTTATATGTTTGACTTTATTGTTTCCTCCAGTGAATGCTGAATATATATTATTATATAATATTTTTCCTCTTATTAGGGCATCTAAACTCCACCAGATTTTTTTCGCAATTAAATACTTTTTTATTGACTAGCTTTTTTCATCCACTTCACATGACATTAGGTGCTTGAAGTTTTCTTTTTTCTTCTTACACTTTATGCATACTGTTGTTGGGTATAGATCTTCTCAGTTTTTTTACGTACATATGGGCTAGGTGCAATAGAAAAGAGGGAAATCAACAAAACAAAAGATCTTCAGAAAATCAATTTTTATGTTATAA